TCTCTCTCTCTCTCTCTCTCTCGCTCTCGCTCTCGCTCTCGCTCTCGCTCTCGCTCTCGCTCTCGCTCTCGCTCTCGCTCTCGCTCTCGCTCTCGCTCTCTCGCTCTCGCTCTCTCGCTCTCTCGCTCTCTCGCTCTCTCGCTCTCGCTCTCTCGCTCTCTCGGTCTCGCTCTCGTGGTCTCGCCCTCGCTCTCTCGGTCTCGCGGTCTCGCCCTCGCTCTCTCTCTCTCTCTCACTCGCTCTCTCACTCGCTCTCTCACTCGCTCTCTCACTCCTTTCCCCTCTCTGATCACCCTCTTTGTTCCCTTATTCTTCTGTTTCCTCTGGCTCATCCTGTCTCCTAAGTAATTACCTTTCCATTCGAGAAGCAGTGTTCACAGTGTCGCCAAAGAGACAGTATCTGGGCATGGTGACCCCAACCACACCCGCTATCACAGGGCCCGTGTGCAAGCCTATCCGCAGCTTGAGAGTGGTTTCAGGCCGGTGCCGAATAACGAACTTGGTTTTTACCTTCAAAAGTTCATTCAAGATTGTATTAAATACTTTTTACTAACTGAACATGATAAAACAGGAGGCAACACAATTCAATAACAAAATATATTACTCTGATTACTACACATATTCATAAGTTACAGATCCTCTCTCCACAAATATCTGCTTTGCAAAAAAAGCATAAAAAAATAATAGCACACCATTTAGTGCTAACAAGAAAGACAAGAAAGCATTATATAATAATGACAAACAGGCTTAATGTACTGCAATCATATTCACAATTTCTATACATTTATCTACTTAGAACTGATATTGTTCCTCTCAAAAAAGAAAACTGAAATACAATACTATCACACAAAAGAGAATGAAAATCAAAGACCATGACTCACCTCATTCAACAGCTCAAGGGCCATAGATGCTATTTCCCCAGCATGTCTCCCCATGTTTGGCTTTGGAAGGCCCGAGACGACCATATACGCATCACCGATAGTTTCCACTTTGTATACATCATAGCCTTTAATGATGTTGTCGAAAAGTGTATACAGGTCATTCAAGAAACTCACCACCTGTTACACAAATAAAAATGTAAGACTATAATGAAAATACTTTAATTACATTCCATATGTGTCATAGTCAGGCTTTGAAAATGTAGGAATCTAGTACTTTCTTCAACAGTGTAATAAAATAAAAAGGGCTGACCTGGTATGGGGTACTCTCAGCAGACAAAGAAGTGAACCCTACAATGTCACTGAAATATATTGTAACGGCATCAAAGCCTTGAGGTTCTACATCTATCCCTTGAGTTAAGCTTGCTGCAACAGATCTGAAAAATATGGGAAATTATTAAAAGTCCTATTTGCAATCCTAATTTAACATTAAGTGTTAAATGAGATGATAAATAAAATGTTTGTACAACAATATTTTAATAATTTCATTCACAAATTTAGAGAATTTTTTAATTTCAATTTTCATATGTTGTAAACTTACGATGGTAACATGCGATGCAGCAAGTCTTTTGTCTTGCTCTGCTCTTCCCTCAGTGCTTGTGTTCGATTTGTTACTAATTCCTCAAGGTTCTTGCTATATTGCTCTAACATGTGCAACATGTGGTCCATTAGGTTACCCTTCCGACTAAAATAAGAGAGATAAAAGAAAGGAAAAATTATAATGAAAATGTATTAAGAAAAAAAGTAAGCATTCTGATATTTGTGCATTATATACATGTTTTTCACAATATCAACTTTAATTCTATTGCTCAATCAAAGCAATTGCATACCTTTTGTCCTTCATGTCTTTCAATTTAATTTTGATTGTGCGGAAGTTTGGCCTCTCAGATGGGTTCTCCTTCCAGGCGGCCTGCATAGTGCTCCTCACATCCTGGTCAGACCCGAACGGCATGTCCAGCAAGTTTAGTAGGGATGGACGATATACATTACCTGTCAGGGTTGAGCCATCTTTCAACTTCTGGATGATCACTGTAGAAGTGAGAGTACAACGTTAATTAGGCTGCACAATCGAAATTTTTCTTAAGATACGTTGGAATTTACAGAATGTATTCCCATAGTTGTACTTTTCAATCCTGTAACAATAAAACTTAGAGAGAGGGAGAGGAAGAGGGAGAGGGAGAGGAAGTGGGAGAGGAAGAGGA